CTGTACAGTGGAACTCTGTTAATACCCAGTCACAAATGGGTCAAAAAAATTTGGCCATATTATGACTGGGGTGGTCATATTATCCGGGAAGGCTCAAATTTCATGACTTGAGGGCCCTAATGACAAATACACCGTACATTGCATTCGCATTTCTTGAACAACTGTTGTCATTAATAAATAAACAACCATAATGTAGATATCACGTACAGTAACTGAAAAAACTACTTAAAATTTCCCTTCAGTACATAAAACACTGCTAAAAAATTGCAACAAGTGCACTTTATGTGTACTGTAGTCTAAAAACAGTACAAGAACAGGCCCAGAGTGCTAGGTCAATAAAATTGACATGTCACAGGCAATTTAGAAAATGAAACTTTTTTCAATTTCGAACAAGTGGCCGTACTAACGGGGTGGAATTATAAGAGATTCCATTGTTTGGGATTTCAAAATGTGTCATTGGCCATATTAACAGGTGACCACATTAATGGTTTTTTTTTTATAAGGAAATGTACAGCCCGCAGAAAAAAGTGGCCATAATAACGAGGTGACGCTGTTACCGAGGTAGGTAATAGAAACTGTTAAAAATACAATCATGTAATCATTTCCAAACCTTTCTTATAACAGCCTGAGAAAACAGCCAACATTTCACGAGGCCACAACTGGTTTCCCTGCAAAATGACGTCTGGGAAATGAGGACAAAAATTCCATACTGGTGACCTTTCATTACCCAGATCTGGGTAGCTAAGGTCTGATTGGCTGAAAGTTTGCTTCAACCAATCAAAAGCACTATTCAAGTTTCTCCCTTGGGTTTTTACTGTGGAGCCAATTTGTATGCAACCGTGGGCTTGTTAACCCGCATAATTAACTGACTAACGGTGCGTGAATTGACAAGAGCATAAGCTCATCAAGCGCTGAGACTTCCATAGTTAGTCGTTTCCCCGAGTTAGAACGGAGAAAACGCTTTTGTAATGGTGAGTCAAAATTGAAATAGAGAGTTTTCAGCTCCACTTTGTGTATGTGTTTGTGTGTGTGTTTTGTTTATATATCCGATTTTTAGCGCTAAATAAGAAGACACGTGTTGCTAGGCGATCGCACCTCTTATTCCAATTTTTTTTTCATTAGTTACAAGAATGGAGTTTATTTAAGAACCAAAAGAGTAAGGGTTTACTTTAGAACCACCTGTTGTTTTCTATAGAATTTTTATACCCTGCGCATACTTTCTACAGACTACAGAGTCAAGTTAACAAAGATTGATACTCTGCTTGATAGACAGTTTTTCGCTTCGATGCGCTTCGACCTCGTTTTCATGTTTTGCCCGAAAAAATTAATACGATTTAGCATTCGCCTAGTAACCTCCTTTTTCCTTCTTTTGAAGTAAAGATTTTTCAGTTAACCTCTGTGTCTTGGTTTTCTTTAAAACCGATTTTTAGTGAAAATAATTTAATGATTAAAGATTTTTCATTTACTATAACCTGCAAAGATAACACGTTCAAAATTTGCTCGCTTTTATTTTAAACACATAACAGTTTCTACAATATCCAATCAGAAGACTATAGCAAATAGCTAATTATATAAAAATCACTTTCTGTTTATAGATTATGATCTCAACATTTTTTGATGACGTCAACTCTAGGAAATTCTGACGTCACTTGCTCCTTGCCGGCTAAAAATAAACTATGACATCATCCTATCTTAATGAGATGTATGACGTCACCGGCGTTAATGTATTCCTCAGCAAGTTAATGAAATTCCCCCGCAAAAAAGGTTAATTACGTACCTTCCCCACTACTGCAATTTCATAGCAATCGCACAACAAAGCTGTCAAAGTACGTCGGAAGACTGTTTACTCAAGACCTAGCGTGATTCTGACTCAGCATCTGGTGTCTTCGCAAAACTTACGTTTGCCTAATCTTAAGATAAATTAAAAACGTTCAATGACAATTTTACCTCTTCAGGCAGCACCTAGTTGTACATAGCAAAGTACATAACAAAAATTACCGTTCGTTGCCAAACTGACCATATCAAAATTTTTCTTATACCATTATAATATTTAAAAACTCTAGCCATGCTAATACATCAGACATATTTTTACCACAAAAGCTCACCTGCCATCTTTAAAGCCTCTGCACTTTCCAGTTCATTCAGTTTGTCTTTGATATTGTCTTCCACCTTCCTCCACTGTTTGAGAAGTTCTCTGAAATGCTCTTCATTTAGGAGGTCCATTTCCTGAAAGCTCATTTGCTCAATGACATCTTCATAATTAGCTCCTCCCAATCGTACCAGAGTGTCATGGATCTGCTGCCAGTAGTTACTGAAGACAGCATCACTAACAAAACCTTCTCCAGTATGACTAGACACGGCGTTGAAGAAATATTTCAGACGCGCAATGTCAGACTCAGGGCTTAGGTCTTCGGGAAGAGGAGGAGCATCCCAACCAGCGGGTGGAGGACTCAGATCACAGATTGTCCTTAGAAGAACCATTAGTAGGGGGATGTCGAAGCCTGCCGATGAAACTTCGGAGGGTGTGGTAGGATACAGTTTACTCCACTGGACTGAGTTTAGTATCCCTTCCTTTCGACGTGACTGAAGTTTAGAGTGTGCTGGGTTCCGTTTCAAAATGCGTTGAAGACTTTGTGGTGGAATTATTCTGTCAAACGTTTCTCTGAGTGCTTTTGAACCCAAGCTGATTAGAAGACGACATAACCGGGAATAATTTGATCTCCCCTTGGTGGAGGTATACTGACTTGAATCAAGATCTAAAAGAAAAATCAAACAAAATCATTATTTGTTTCCTAGATCTACTAAAGTAAAATCCTTTAAAATACAGTACGTGTGTTAAAATCTAAGTATACTGTATAGACATTATTCGCCTAAAAGCCCATTCTCATCACAAACCAAGTGTTGCTCCCAAGAGAATGCCTCTTTTGTCGACATTTTTTAGAACGACGGTAAATATGATCAATTTGGAAAGGGACTGTTTTGTAGAAGACAGTCGAGGGATTTCAACGAAGTAACAAAACAAGAGAACAGATAAGCAAGAGAAAAGGAAAACAGAAGACGGATGCTGGGACGCAGCGAAGTTGAGCTTTATCATGAGCCCTTACTTGTAGATCCGGAAGCCACGATATCGCCCATGGTCTTTCTGGCCTTTGCTCCAGTTTGAAGGTTCTTCGTGATGTCCTCCTCATTGTTTCTCTTCTTCCTTTCAATCCTACACTCACCTTACCAACAAATAAGATACAAAAGGCAATCAGTGTCATATCCATAGACGTTTCTGAAACGTAATCCAGGAACGAACTGAGACAATTAACTTTGAAGGGTTAAAATTGTTTATCATATGTGCTTAGTTATTCTGTCATGCATTCCTCACCGAGAGAAAGAAATAATCGCGTAACCGACCATGACTTAGATCACTGCGAAATTAAGTTACTACCGCTGTGAACGCTACCAAGTTTTCTGCTCTAGATCCTCTTCTCAAAAGACTAAAAATGAGTTCTATGGCGGGATAGCTCTTATAGGCTTTAAAAGGTGACTCCGGTATTGAACCGTAACCGACCATCAAAAACAGAATCGGAAGAGAAATCGTCGAAGCTGTTTATTCCGATCACGCTTTAGATTTAAGGTCTACCTGTATGTTTCTCTGTCGTGCCTCGTGTAGCCTGAGAAGCCAGGTGAGAAGATACAACGGTTCCACCTATTGTTTCGGCGAAGCTCTGGACATTTGAAAAATCAACTGCAGAAAAAAAGACAAGATTGTTGTCTTTTAGGAATGTATGGAAGAGTAAAAACGCTCAGGTTTCTTGTTTTCTGGATTTTGAGTAGCCGGAAACTTTGGGTGTATATAACACCATTTAGAAGAAACAAACTTTGTTTCTTTTCATTCAAGACAGCGTTTTAAGTAATCCAAATAAATTTTTCAGAGTAGACGGCCCAACCTAAACATGAAAAATTGTTGATTTAAAGGAGAGGTTAAAATAAAGAAAACTAAAAATGGCTACCATTATCAGCAGGCGTTGTCATAGTGCTTAAGTTAAAGTAAAATAAAAAAAATGCAATGGACATTCATACCGTTAGTCCAGCTGATCATCTTGTGAAGAAGATCTTTTATCTGTTTGGACCAGTTGTATTTCTTGTCGTACGAATCGCGCAAAGCTTCCACTTCCTCAAGTCGACTTTTTCTGTCCTTGGCCCATATTTTCGAGATGGCTGCAGTCCAATCAGTGGGGTCCTCTGAATTTACTACAAAGGATGAACCAAATGGTACAATGCACAGTGCTTCTCCAAACCCCGAGTTGCGGCTGACAAGCACAGGGAGACCAGCTGACAGGGCCTCAAGTCCTGCCAACCCAAAGCCCTCCGTTCGTGAAGGCATGACTACAAGATCCACTTCCTGAAACAAGCGCTTTAGACTCTCTCGGTCCTCAATAAATCCTCTTACTTTCAAGCGACTTGCAGGAACACCACATCCGGTTAACCCCTTCGCTATTTCTTCGTGCTTTCCATCTGGAGCGCCAACAAACACAAGACGAGTATCTTTTAATGCAGCAACTGCTTTTCCAGCGATGTCAAATCCCTTTAGTTCGAAATCCTCTGCGTCCCCACGACCAAATACCAATATACTGCGTTGTTTTCTTTCTTCCGCAGCCTGTTTCAAGCTGGAAAATTCTTTAAATACTCCAGGAGTCAAGACCACTACACTTTCATCCTTTTGGCAGCCTCGAAGATACGAGCGGAAGGCCTCACTCAACTTGGGCCCAACTCCTACAACGAGGTCTGCCATTTCACACAACTCCACCTCTGTTTTATGTTTCTCTTGACCCTTGGAAATTGGGTTGGAATACTTCTTAAACATTCCCAGTTCTTCTGGGTCTGTGTGCACGACTTGGACCCACTTACACTTTTTAGATTCTTTAATGATTTGAGCTTGTTTGCCAAGTTTAACCCCATGACCAACGATTACATCTATTTGTAAATTTTCTGGTGGAAAGAGAAGCCACTCCAGTTCTTCTAAGCCAGGCCGGCGAGTTGCCTCGATAATCGTTACCTTGTGTTGGAGGGCTAGTTTTTTGTCCTCTTCACTACATTTTGGAAGGAAGAAAGTGATTTCCGCTTCAGGGCATTTGGCGAATTGAATGGCTAATTCTCTGTTTATGGTGGACAGCCCTCCTTTGCTCGATCCCCATTCAGAGGCCAAAATGGTGACTTGTACTTTGAGGGATCTTTCCGGAAAAGACTCCATTTCTAAGCATGATAAGAATGGCTAAACACCTAAAAGAAAACAAAACATAACAAATGATTCAATAAATTTATCACTAGTTAGTGTTCAAATGGTGACTCTGTATGACCTCCTGCTGTGGTTTGACTTTCTTTGTCCAGGATTGCAAGTTAATGAGGTTCATGCCCCTTTATGATAGACATCATTAAGTGTCCCCTAACCTTAACCTCGCCTAAACGCAAGCGTCTACATGACGTCATATGGAATACGTCAGATAGAATAATAATACCTGTGCCCAATATATAGTGCTTAAAATCCAGGTTTTTCCCCTCATTTATTTACAATACTTTCACATATCATAATACACCCACAAGACTTATACCTACATTACAAAAAACAACAAACAAACAAAACATAATTCAGGAAATAGTATTTACCCTCACAAATACGCTGAGAAGAGTTAAAATTGTGTATGGCTTATACTATAGGCCAAAATAAACAAATAAAACGACCGATAATGAAATTTATTACATCCACTTTGAAATCACTGGCTATCCGTGCAATCTGATTGGCTCTCAGCAGTGTGATTTATTCCTAAATCGCACCATTTTTTGCTCTAAATCGCATCTGTTCCAAATCGCGTCATTCATGTTCTAAATCGCATCATTTCTGTTTTAAATCGCACCATTTTTGTTCTATATCGCATCATTTCTGTTTCGAATACAAAATGAGATGTAAAAGCCTTTTTGTTTCGGCTTTTTAACAAACCGGCTACTCGATCAATAAAATATTAGTACTGACTAAATTCTGCGATTTCAAAATGGATGTAATAAAGTGGTAATTGAACTTCGTGTCGTGCAATTTTGGTCTGAAATCATACTTGTGATTTCAAATCGAACTCGCGCTGCGCGCTCGTTCGATTTTGAAATCACTCGTATGATTTCAGACCAAATTGCACTCCACTCAGTTCAATTACCATTATAAATGAAATCATCATCATCATTTCCATAAAAAAAGAGTTATTTTTTTATTTCTGGACACAAGTAATGACTTTTAAGTTGGCTTGGTCATACAAAGGCATCACGAGCTACACAAGGGAAGTTACATCAGCGAAGCATGGAATTTATAAAAAGAGAGATTCTGAAAGGAATCAAATCAATAGTGCATAGGATAGTAGTATAAGGAACCATAACAAATGTACGATTAAATAGATGTGGCAGTTGTGAAGGTAATTTTAATGTTTATTACATCCACTTTGAAATCACTGGTTATTCGTGCAATCTGATTGGCTCTCAGCAGTGTGATTTATTCCTAAATCGCACCATTTTTTGCTCTAAATCACATGTGTTCCAAATCGCGTCATTCATGTTCTAAATCGCATCATTTCTGTTTTAAATCGCACCACTTTTGTTCTATATCGCATCATTTCTGTTTCGAATACAAAATGAGATGTAAAAGCCTTTTTGTTTCGGCTTTTTAAGAAACCGGCTACTCGATCAATAAAATATTAGTACTGACTAAATTCTGCGATTTCAAAATGGATGTAATAAAGTGGTAATTGAACTTCGTGTCGTGCAATTTTGGTCTGAAATCATACTTGTGATTTCAAATCGAACTTGCGCTGCGCGCTCGTTCAATTTTGAAATCACGCGTATGATTTCAGACCAAATTGCACTCCACTCAGTTCAATTACCATTATTAATCACCTTTATGTTCATGGTCTTTCATAATCAGAGTTGAGTTAAAAAAAATGAAAGAAAAGAAACTTTAACTTAACAAAGCACCGGGTACATTCCAATTCAGATTCTCCAGATTATTTTTACATCAACAATAATATAAAGCCTAGATTGCATCACTTGCACTGAGATGGAATTTCTGTGAATTCATACGAAAAAATTGTAAAAAACAATAATTATTTTTAAAGCTTATTTTTACTTCTACTTTCAAAGTAAATCTTTGCAATACTCGGTGTTAAAATGTTAAAAAATGTTATAAGCCATCAGAGTTGTACGTTATGCGGGGCTAAGCATCTAACATTAGCAAGACTGTACAGTGGAACTCTGTTAATACCCAGTCACAAATGGGTCAAAAAAATTTGGCCATATTATGACTGGGGTGGTCATATTATCCGGGAAGGCTCAAATTTCATGACTTGAGGGCCCTAATGACAAATACACCGTACATTGCATTCGCATTTCTTGAACAACTGTTGTCATTAATAAATAAACAACCATAATGTAGATATCACGTACAGTAACTGAAAAAACTACTTAAAATTTCCCTTCAGTACATAAAACACTGCTAAAAAATTGCAACAAGTGCACTTTATGTGTACTGTAGTCTAAAAACAGTACAAGAACAGGCCCAGAGTGCTAGGTCAATAAAATTGACATGTCACAGGCAATTTAGAAAATGAAACTTTTTTCAATTTCGAACAAGTGGCCGTACTAACGGGGTGGAATTATAAGAGATTCCATTGTTTGGGATTTCAAAATGTGTCATTGGCCATATTAACAGGTGACCACATTAATGGTTTTTTTTTTATAAGGAAATGTACAGCCCGCAGAAAAAAGTGGCCATAATAACGAGGTGACGCTGTTACCGAGGTAGGTAATAGAAACTGTTAAAAATACAATCATGTAATCATTTCCAAACCTTTCTTATAACAGCCTGAGAAAACAGCCAACATTTCACGAGGCCACAACTGGTTTCCCTGCAAAATGACGTCTGGGAAATGAGGACAAAAATTCCATACTGGTGACCTTTCATTACCCAGATCTGGGTAGCTAAGGTCTGATTGGCTGAAAGTTTGCTTCAACCAATCAAAAGCACTACCAGATCCGGGTATTGACATGTCATCAGTATGGAATTTCTGCACTCGTTTCACAAACATCATTTTGCGATGAAACCAGAAATGCCACTTATTTGCCCAAGCTACATTCTAACTATTAGACATTATTTTCTTGAAAACCTAAACTAAGTGCGTACATGTAGTAGTTCTACAGGCAGTCATTTGGTGCCAACACAGTTTTGAACACTCAGTTAATAAACAAAAACATTCTCTGGTCTGAACTCTGATGGATTTCCCCAGTTTCCCACAAGTTAGATTACTAACCCATTCATGACATTACAAAAGCTGTTCCCTGCAAGAGTCTCAATTTACCTACAGCTGCAAGTTATGCAAATTATGCAGGATTAACTCCAGCACAACAAAGGGTCTGAATGCCACCTCATTCCCCTCAGATGGTTTTTAAGGCCATTACCGAGTCAACCCTTTTTTTTCCAACAGTTTGGACAACTTTGGTGATAAGGTATGTCACTGTTAAGTGAAATTATGACTTTGAGACCTTTTTAAGTAAAAAAGGTAACTCCCAATACTTAAGGCAGTAGAGAAGGAATTTTGAATTGTCAGTGACATGACAAGGAGCTTAAATTTAACCAAAGACATTATTATATTATATTTTATTTTATTAGCTTTGCCCATAATGTGATAAAAAACAAAGAGAGAGAAAAAAATAAAGGATAATAAAATTAATATGCATGCACTGAAAGCAAAGAAGAATAACTGCTTAATTGGGCAGGAATACCACAACAGCAGTAAGCCAATTACCGTGGTCCCAGGCTTTAAAAAATATGTTAAAAAACAACAAACAACAAACAACAAACAAACAAACAAAACAGTAAAGCTATATAAGACTATTAAAAAAGACAATGAAGATAGACAGAAACATTAAATTAAGTGATACAATTAAGCCCAGCTTAAAAGGAGATTTGCACTGTGATTTCTAAACTGTTCAAAGACAACACTCACCATCTGATATGAGTAAAAAATAATCCACGAGAGAGAGAAGGAGACCTCACAGGGAAGCCAACTGCTTATATTAGTGACATAGGTGTCCTTAATTAAGTGGGGCAATAGTTCAAGTTGTATGTAAGATTTTTGCAGATATGTGGTTAAAATGCATAAAAAAGTACCAACATCTTGTGGACTGGAGGGGGGAAGAGGATTATGGTGCCACTCTGTTGAGAGGGATGGTACTGTTTGCATCTAAAACTGCAGTAGTTGGTTTAAGACACTTAACACATGGAGTAAATACTAGTACATGCCAACAGCAGAGATGCCAACCTCTGGAGACCTAAAATCGGGAGACTGTCTTTTTTTGACTACCCCCTGGAATTTCAACGAAACCCCCCCCCCCCCCCCCACCCAAAATAAAAAAAAATTGACCCAGCCCCCAATGGGAATGACTTAGGACATTATATGACGTCTTATATGATGTACATACTATCAAAATTCGAAATCATCGTTTTGATGCTAGAAATAATCTTTGTCAATGACTGAATACGTACAAAAATGCCCCAGAAACCGTACTGCCAATAAGAAAAATTCAAGTTTTGAGCTAAAAATGGGCTAAATCTCAAACTAAGTCTGCTTTATTTTTTACTAAGTACTCAGTATTTATAGTGGACGTAAAAAGCGGGAGAGTTATGTACCAAAGCGGGAGAGCGGGAAATGAGGCAAAAAAGCGTAAATCTCCCGCCAAAAGTAGGAGAGTTGGCATCACTGCAACAAGTCAAGTTTGAGAGTTATAGTGAGGTTAATATACTTATTTAGTAAAATCCAGCTAGTGGTCTATTATCAATGCTGCATTCTGATTGGTTGAGCTGCTACTAGGTTCTATGTTATAACCCAAAACAGTGGCGGCTGAATCGAATTTTGCTAGCTAAAGTTGTTTTGTCTCGATATTTTTGACCAACTAGATTTTACTAATTTGGATTTTACTG